TATCAGCGTAAATTTACATCGCATTTTGTTTAATCTGTTTGTCCTCATTGTCAACTTAAATTTGTATTGTAGCTCTGAAGCCCTTGAGGTTTGAGCAGATCGTTTGTATTGCGTTTTCTTGACGTCCGTGAATTATGGTCATCGTGGCTTTCGCGCAAAGTGGAGCTGTATAAATATTCATAGTAAATTCCGACACGAATCGTCAGTAGTTGCTCAAAGACTTCCTCGAGGCCAGAGCAAGTTTTCAAACTAAAATTACGTGACAGGTTGATGAAAGTCCTTTTTAAATTAGAAAACTAACTTTCAAAACCACAAACAAGTGCAACATTTCCTAAAGCAAAAAGGAAAAAACTCAATTGAAATCCTATCGTGATAATTTAACGTTGAGGCGCTTTGAAAATACTAGACAAAGTTAAAAACAGGTGGTAATTAAGTGTTAACAACTGAGTTGAAAATGTAAATTGGCCACCGTAAAGAGTAAAAAAGCTGACGTTTCGAGTGTTAGCCCTTCTTCGCCACATCTTCTTAAAGCGATGAAAAAAAATCACACCTTCGTTGGATGCCACGCCCAAGGTAAAAGACAAAAGGAACAAATAAAAAGTGATAACAAACGCGCTCTGCCAAAACCTCGAAAAACTTGCTTTTAGCAGTATTTCATTCTAAAAACATTTCTAGAATTCAGTTTTGACAGTTTTTAGAAAATTCTTGTCAGCAAGCAAGATCTGCTTTTCCTTTTTTAAAAGTAGAACGGTCACTCAAACTTCAAGCAGTCTCAAAGTACTTAAATGAAGGAATCCTCTTCTTCGGTAGACTTGTTGGTTCCATAAAGTCAGCACCTCATTAGAAAACAGCTGTGCGCCAGCGCCTGCTCTCTACGAAAATTTGGAGAAGCTGTTGACAGCTCCTTACTTTTAACAAAGATTGTTAAAATCCGCTGTAAAACTCTAGTAGTTTTTAATGAGAGAGACTTACTTTTAAGCAGGACCTCCTTTTTTTGTAAATGATAAATAAAAAAACTCGCACCTTCTTCATTGTGAGACTTGTGAGAGAAAAAATATCACACCCTCATCTTGCCACGCGTTTGACTGAAAACGAAAATAACTCAAATACATGCTCTCGCAAAAACTAGGAAATCATTGCTTTGATCAGTATATCTTGTATCATCAACATAGTTACACGAATTCGGCGCTTTTGCAAAGAAGGATCCTCGTGTTAGGTAAAAATGCTGGTTCTAAAAATGATGAATGCCTCGTTTGAAAAAAGCTGTGCGCCAGAAACAAGGTCTTCAATCGCCTCGAGGCTCTCCACAGAAAACCGTCACTTTCGATTGTATTTAACATCAGTAGTAAGACCAAAAAATATATTTATGCGTTGAAAAAACTGACTGGTAAAAACCAGGCGACTTGACTTACATATAGAGAGAGGTGGTTTAAATGAGTCACTGCAATACGGATAAATTTAATTATTTCTGAATTTGCGAACCTTTGGCTCAATGCGCTAAACGAGGGTCAAGTCTACCCTTGGGTACACCGATGGAGATTGATTTTACTAGTTCATATTTACACTACCCACTCCCTCAGTGCAGCAAAATTGCCACTCCGATAATTTTCTCGATCAGTTACGAGCTTTCCGCCTCCCTTCGGCCAAAGTCCCTCAGGACTACCAATTACTCAGGACTTTTGTTTGGAAAAGTTGACCCGGAACAATGGGCCATTTCTTGATACGTTTTAGAGGGGGAGCAGGGAGTTTTCCTGTTTTTGACCTACATATGTAAGATGTCTGTAAAAGCAACTATCACTTTACTGCACTTCGAGCGGCAAGGTACAATTTTTCTCACTTTTGCGGCTGACAGATTTGAAGCCGGAATTCAATGCCAGAGATCCGTTTCATGTCTTAACTGCGCGTCAGTAGCTTTTATGACACAAAAACAGGTGAATATTTGACAATTTTGTTGTTTGATCCTAAATAACTCGGGAAGAAGTTGTTTTCAGTTCCCCTCTTTTATAAATATTAAAAAACCTGCAGGTAGAAAAGGATAATATTTGAACGTTTTGCACCTGTCAAAATGCGCGCATTATTTACTTCTGTAGCTCTTTCTGACGAGTGGCAGTCGTGACAGTAGACAGCTTAAGCAAACCACTGAAACACGTAATTATAATATCATTTATTCACAAACCACTGAACCACATATACTTATAATATCATTTATTCTCTCTTTTGCAACTGACAGAGTTGAAAGAATTCAAGGCCGAAGCACCGTTTCATGTTTCCTGTGCGAGTCAGTTTTCAATGCACTTGGGTAAGGCAGTTTCTTCTCGATTTGAACTTGAATTCCCGATAGTTTTTTGGGGGGTTTGCCTGTTTGTGACCGTCGTCAGAGGTCGTCCTCTGCAAAGTGCAGCCCTGCTCACATATGTTATGCTGAAATTGGAGTTCGGCGTCGTTGTAGAGGTCGAACTCCTCTAGACATTGGCGACATTCTCGACGAAAAGATTTATTAATTCTCTGATCAACTTTTTTTCTTGCATTTGCCGTCTAGACTGCGTAGGGTCTTTTACTACGCTATATAACACTCTTTAAACTTTCTCCTTTTATTAGTTCCAAGCCGGTTCACTCACATTAACGGCTCTATATTAAAAAGTGCGTTCAGGTTTTTTTACCGCAAAGACCAATATGCTATATTTTTCATGGATTAAACAGAATATTAATCAAAACATAATGTCAGTCCTACATGAAGGCAAACTTTGATAAAAGCTGAAACAACTTAGCTAAGAACACGGGGTCTTATCAACACAGGAAGTCATTTATTCATATGCACGGGGAAAAATATTTTTTCCTTTGACTGAACAAAAATATTGATTAAAACATAATGTCAGTTCTACATGAAGGCAAACTTTGATAAAAGCTAAAACAACTTAGCTAAGAACACGGAATCTTATCATCACAGGAAGTCATGTATTTATATGCACGGGAATAAACATTTTTTTCCTTTTCGAAACGAAAATTTTGTTGCTCATCATTTTTTCCTGCATGCAAAAAAAATTACATCTCTCAGTGAAAAACCCAACGAGTTTCATGTTAAAGGGGATAGATATAGCTGATCCAATAATAAACTGATGCTTGAATTTAAAAAGGTATTTCTTCCATTATACTCTATCAAAATACGAACGATCTAAATTGGAAAAATCGTTGATTTTTACCAACCATGTAAGTGCATGGTTTTCTCCTCGTTATTCTTCGATGTTCATATACTTATGATATCATTTATTCTCTCTTTTGCAACTGACAGAGTTGAAATAATTCAAGGCCGAAGCACCGTTTCATGTTTCCTGTGCGAGTCAGTTTTCAGTGCACCAAGGTAAGGTAGTTTCTTCTCGATTTGAACATGAATTCCCGAAAGTTTTTTTGGGGGGTTTGCCTGTTTGTGACCTACGCATGTGAGATATCTATAAAAGAAACGATCACTTTTCTGTACTTCAAGTGGCAAGGCACAATTTTAGAGTGGAAAAAAAATCCTGTTGGGTCATTAGGGGAGCAACAATTTGCTTTGTCAGTGTTTGTCAAGTTCAATATTTTGTCCATTTCACTTGACAAAGGAACGTGATAGACATTGAATCACCTGCTCATAGGCACAAAGGATTAGAAACATACCACGAACAATGCAAATTTTGCAAATCTCTCTCTCTCTCTTTTTGTTAAATGCCAGCCTTCTCGTTCGCAGTTAGAGACGCCAACGAGTGATTGACTTTTCAAGTTATTTCACGACGAGGACAAGATAATTTACAATAATTTAATATACAAACATAATTTGTATATTCATTCCTATAAAATAGTTTTTTCTCTTTTTGCGACCGATAGAATTGAAGGAATTCAAGACCGAAGCATCGTTTCATATATCTCCACTGTGAGTGTTCAGGTAAGTCAGTTTCGTTTCGGTTTTATAATAGATTCCGAAACATGGTGTATGGGTGGTTTGCCTGTTTGCGACTCACAAACGTGTATCATCGCTGAGCGAACCTTCAGTTTTCTCCTTTAAATATCAAGGCACAGTTTGAGGATAAAAAAAACCAGTTTGGGGATTTATATTTAGTTGTTTATTGAGGTGTACTGAGTCGTTTTGTGTTTGTAAAGTTCAATACGGTTTCTGCTTCTATTGACAAACTCCCCTTATAAATAACGTCACTAAAGTAGTTTTACAAACTGTGTTATGTAGTACACTTATACTTGCAATTGGCCAAAGTAAGAGTTAAACATCCTCTGGCTCTCAGCGAGCGGGAAAGCGACCAGCTCATTTCATTTGTGTGCCATTTTCACAACCTAGACTTTCGTTACATCCATCCAGCCGTTTTCCCGCTCATTCTAACCAAAATAAGGGGTCAATTCATGTTGTCCTTCAGTAACATTTTGAAATGGGATAATAGTTTCTGATGAGGCCTTAAACTACTGTATAAATTTCCTAAATTTAAAACTTTTAAAAACGAGTTAAATTAAATGAATCTTCGAATTTTTGCCGATCCACGGCATCATCATGCATTAGATCGGCGAAAGCTCGAAGACATGGTTTTGATTCCTTTTTTTAAAATTTCTTTCGAACATTAAGTAATTTAAGACCTCACCAGAAGCTATTTTACCATAAAAAAAGGGTTTGTTACGAAGACCATATTGTTGATCATTCTGTTATGAAGGCAGAATTTTTACGTTTATAAGGCGTAAGAAAATATCTCGTATACTGTAGCAGGAGTTGCAACTAGCCTGAAACGGATCCAGGTGAGTAATTTCCAATTTTGGCGGCGACATCGTCAGCGTTTAGGAATATGTTACTATTTTATCACGTCGTTAATTTAAAATTTACAATTTGATCTTATGGATTAAGAGGTAATTTTCTTTATTTCAGAAGAGACCAATAAACTTTGAAGCGGAAAAAACAGAATTCTCTAGATCAACTCTAACAGTGTTACTAGAGCTCGGGTTGCATATGAAGAAAGAGCCTGGATGAAATAATGGCGAATTTAACTGAGGATGGAAATTATACGACAACAGGCCTGGGGTTTTCCTGTTCTCCAGGTCTCGGAACAGCTCAGAAGATATTCATTTCAACCATAAATCTTCCCTTATCCATTTTTGCAATTATTGGAAATCTCTTGATCATCATTACTCTCCGTAAGGTGTCGTGCCTTCATCCGCCGTCAAAACTCTTGCTCAGTTGTCTTGCTTGCACAGATTTGGGCGTGGGCCTTATTTCACAACCTCTTTACTCTGTTTTCTTTATGGCCCCTGAGCACTCAAGGGTTTGTTTCTTCTCTTCTTTACTTTTTCTTATCACTGGTTCAATATTTTGTGGGGTATCTTCGTCAACAATGACTGCAATAAGTGTGGACAGACTTCTTGCTCTGTCGCTGGGACTAAGATACAAACAGGTTGTAACTATGAGGCGAGTAAAGGCTCTCGTTGGTACTCATTGGGTCTTATACACTATCATTATGTTGGTAGCATTTCAGAATTATAGCATTTTCCAAGGCATTGTATCTGCAATAGTTTTGTTAGGCATAATGATCTCTTCATTTTGTTACACCAAAATTTATCGCACTCTCCGCCTCTCGCAAGCACAAGTTCAGAGCCAAGGTCACCAAGGACAACAGAATGAAGAAGCAACTCCATTGAATAAAGCGAGATACAAAAAGAAAGTGTCCACAGCACTGTGGGTACAAATGGCATTACTGGTTTGTTATCTCCCTTTGGCTTTGGTTTCTGGTTTTGCTTCTATCACTGACCATGACCCGCCATTATTCAACTTTGTCTCGTCTTTATCGATATCTCTTACGTTCTCTAACTCGACTATAAATCCAATCCTGTATTGTTGGAGGATGAGAGAAATGAAACGAGCCGTAAAGCACACGATAAGACAATTTTGTTGTTATCCTAATGAAGAAACTTAGAAGCACCGTGACTTTAACAAGATGCGATGGCATTCCACTGCGTTATGAATAATTTTTGTAAATACAACCTTCTAGAAATCTCCAGACTGCTTAGTCATGCTGACTTGCATACCATGGAACTTTCTGGAGCATTTCATAATGTCACGCACCTATTATGTAATACTACTAAAACAGTTATTATCCAAGCTTCTGGAATGTTCCAGAACACTTTGTAAATATATAAAGACTGACTTATGTAGTAGTAGGGCTAGTTACAGTTGTTGTTGTCGGAGCGAAGACTGTTTTGAAAGCTCTACCGAGAAAGAGTTACCGCGGAAAATTGCTCATTTCAAGGCACTTTGGAGACAGCAATGAGATTGTCTCAGTGGTGAGCTAGGATGTTGATTGTGGTGGACTTACTGAATTAAGTTTATTAACGATAAGTATTGTACTGCTTTTAGGAGGCGCTCTTTGTTAAGAACATTACTCGCTGTTTAATAAAGTAGTTGGGTTTGTGGGATTGTGATTTTATACCGTAACAACTGCAAGTAATGTGGGGTCGACCCGTATACTGTGAGGTCGATCTGACCACTTTGAGTTGAATGATACCATCAGTTATGTACATAATACGTTGCAGGTGGTTCCAAATAAAGTGTAGATTTGATTTTGGAGCAGCAATAAAACTTTATTTAAAAGAATACAAGTAGAAAAATGTTTGTGTTCCCGTCCATGCGGTTAAAAAAAAGCTGGCGTAAATTGGGAAGAAAGGCACTGAACTAAGTTAAATTAGACTCAATTTAGTCTTGTTGGAGATAGCAATCGCCTGAGACGGAGTCATTCCATGCAAAAATCTCATTTTCGTTATTCAAAATACTCCACCTCAGAGAATTTAATCGCCTTTTGATGAAAAAACGCAAGAGCACTTCGAAATCTGTGAAAGGATATCATCAACTATGAATTCGAGAGCTACAGAAGCATGGCAACAAATGAATCATATCGTGGTGTTTTAACTTGGTTTTATTTCCGGTAATCGAAGTCGTGAACAACAACAAAATCCCCTGTACAATTCTGTTTTAAAACTTGTTTAATGGCAGTGTCTCCTGTATTTTAAAACTTGTTTAATGCCAGTGTCTCCTGTATTAGGTCTTGGAAGGAATTCCGAAAATCTAGCTACTAAGTAACAGTATTGATGCATTTATAAACAGCTTGATTAAGGGTGCTAATGCGGCAGGGTCTTCATAAGAAAAAAATCCACTTTTTCATGCAGCTTGACAAGTAAGTAGGCACCATATCGTGCTGAGAGGTTACCGACTACTAACCATTGCCTTCCTCGAAAAAAACTCAAGAGAGCAGGATGTGGGCTCCAGCCTGAAATTATGTCTGTAGTGCGAGAAAATGGTCGTCAAGATCTTTCACAAACAGAGAAACACACGCCTATTTAATTAATTCCTCAAACTCTGTCGAAACTAACCTCGTAATGTTGTAAAAATGCAGCTTTATGTGTCTTTGAACTTCTTCAGTTTAAATCAACGAATTATAAAAAAAAAGAATAAAAAACATCTTTCCTCAGAAAGGCGCTTTAATCTTTTCCTTGACGGCGAACAACTCGTCATCCATTGCAATTCGTTTTGCCCTTCTCTAATTTCATACCAAATAATTGAAAAAGATCTGTTACATGACCGATGGATGGCAAACGAGGATCATTGATGAGCATCTTTTTGTTCCTCGTTCAGCCTTGTTCCTTCCTGGTCCACTCAGTGTTTGTCTGGAACAGATATAAAAGCTTCCCACAGCTTATTTCCCACCTTTTCTTGAATAGAGGACTAAAGTAAAGATAAATGATAAGGTTCTCAATATTTTGCTTGATCGCTCTAAAAAGCAGGGAATCATTCTGCCAAGTAATGTATCAGTGATGTAAAACAGTTTGTATCTTACGGCTGTGAATATATGAAAGTCATATATTTGAACTGCGGATAAAGACGTGAATATGAAAGCGATCTTCGCAGTAATGAACACTACTTAAGCAGTAGCGAAAAGAAGGCCTGAAAAAAAAAAAAAAAACAAAAAACAGGCCTGTACGGGATTTGAACCCATGACCTCTGCGATACCGGTACAGTGCTCTGGTCACCGTGTTGGTTCCAAATAAACCCGTGGAGTGGTGAATAAACGGCTGTGAATATATGAAAGTCATTTATAAAATAGTTCAAATAGTACGCGCGCTCTGATTGGCCATAAAACCATTTTACACGAGCGTATGTAAACACGGTTTTCGTTCCTCTTTCATTAGTTATTTTATAAAAGAAATGTAAAATGGTTTCCGTATTTACATAGCCTGATGTAAACACGCGGGAGGTTGGGAGACACTCGATAAGCTAGAAACCACTCCGCTTCGTGTCGTGGTTTCATGCGCTTATCTCGTGTTCTCCCAACCTCCCGCGTGTTTACATCAGGCTATGTAAACACGGAAACCATTTTACATTTCTTCGATATTTGAACTGGGGATAAAGACGTGAATATGATGAAAGCGACCTACGCAGTAATGAACACTACGTAGGCAGTAGTGTTTAAGCAGTAGTGTAAGCAGTCTTTTCATTACTGCGAAGATCGCTTTCATGTTCACGTCTTTATCCGTAGTTCAAATATATGACTTTCATATATTCACAGCCGTTTATTCACCACTCCACGGGTCTATTTAGAACCAACACGGCAGAGGTCATGGGTTCAAATCCCGTACAGGCCTGAATTTTTGTTTTCAGGCCTTCTTTTCACCTACTGCTTTTAAGTAGTGTTCATTACTGCGAAGATCGCTTTCATTTTCAGTTTGTATCTTAGTTTGGATTTTAGTTTCACCGGATAGAATTGGTTCAATTCTCCATTGTTTTGGAGTAACGTTGCAAATTTCTGCTTCTCGTTTTTTCAGTTAAACAAAAAATTAAGTTAAATTTCCTAGAAAATTTAAGTTCTAACTCATGTTAGTACAGAGGGTGATTAAAAATAGGTAAGCATTTAAAGTACTTGTTAAATAGTATTTAACAATTGGTTCATACGTCAGCGTGCGTTCATCGAGATATGAAGCACGCGGGAAGTTTGGAGAGCACGAAAATTGCATAAGAGTTGCTCGAGGGCGTAGCCAAGAGCAACTCTAGCCTCTTGAGTGCCCTCCAAACTTCCCAAGTGCTTCATATCTCGATAAATGCACAGCTGACGTGTGAACCAATTGTTGTATAACATTTTCAACCCGATGGTTTAAATGTTGAAAAAGGGTTAATATTCTCTCTGCTACGCGTCAGCGCGTTGATAATTTTGTTCCAGGAAAACATTTCGCTACGCTGTAAACGACCTTGTCTTAGATTGGTCAAAAAACTGACAGGTGAATTCATGCGTGTAAATGAACTTTATTTTCTGATTGAATACAAAATTCTCGAGGGATTTGTTTGCTGACGTCATGAGCGTGCACAGTAGGAATATGAAGCACGCTCACGCAATTGAATTTGATTAGACAAATTTACTAGCTATGTTATAAATTAGATTCAAATATACTGGCCTCGTAGCTGCCAGTCTTATTTGAGTGTACTTAATAAGACTAATTACACACCAGTATAAGATTGAAAAGAACCAACAAATTGGTTTATGGAGGTTTTCGATTGCACGAAAGAAGCCATTTAAGCGTTAGTTACCAAGTTAGCAAACGATTTAAACCGTACTTCGAGGAAGAGAATAAGAAAAGGAAATGAGCTAATATGGAAAGAAACTACTAAACCTCAACCAATACGTCTACAATAATAGCATGCTGTGTTTTTTACTTCGCAGAGTAGCGGTCTGCATGTCTACTTTTGTCAGATGCAAATCATGGTCGACAGCCGGTTTGACTATTGCATGATTTTCGGCACGTTTTATTGGAGCCAGGTTGCTTCTAAGCTTCTTCACTAAAGATGCAACGAAACTGCCTGATCGTGCCTCTTACTGCTTGTCGTATGTCTCTAATCTTCCAGCAATACAAAAGTGGGTTAATAGTTGAGTTAGACATCAGCAGAGACAGCGTTACAGCATATATTAAGCTCTGGGACTGAACATACAATCTAAAGATAGCCATTACAGCTCCGACTAAACCAAATGGGAGATAACAAGCCAGTAATGTCATTTGTATCCACACTGCCGTGGACACTGTCTTTTTGTACCTTGCTTTGTTCAGTTGCGATCCTTCTCCATTTCGTTGTCCTTGATTGCCTTGGTCTTGCACTTGTGCTCGAGAAAGGCAAAGCATGTGATATATTTTGGTGTAGCAGAAAGTGGAGATCACTATACACAACACGAGTCCTGCAGATGCCATACCTAAAGCAATAAGATAGCTATAATACACCACCGCAGCGATAAGGATGCTGGAAAGCCATATAGTTACAACAAGGGCCATTACTCGCCTCACAGTTACAACCTGCCTGTACCTTAGCCCCAGTAATAGAGCAAGAAGTCTGTCTACACTTATTGCAGTCGTTGTTGACAAAGATGCGCCGCATAATATCGTAGTAGCGGTATAGGAAAGTGCCCAAAAGTAGTGACAACTCTTGGAGTGCTCTGGAGATAAATAAAACCCATTGAGGAGAGGATTTGAAATGAGGCCCACTCCTAGATCTGTGCACGCAAGGCAACTGATCAAAATTTTTGACGGTGAATGCAGAGAAGACAACTTTCGAAGAGCAAGGATGATCAGAGCATTTCCGAAAAATGCCATGATGGATATGGGGATTGTAAAAATTAAAATTGATATCTTCATGGCTTTTCCAAGACCTGGACTGCAATAGTACTCTCGATATATCATGCTATAGTTGCCATACTCAGTTAAATTCGCCATGAGTTTGGTCAGCGTTTTCCTACAGTTTGCTGACCCAACAGTAGAAACAAAGGTAGACTTAGTCTATAGCAGTCAACTTCTATCGTTTGATTCTGTGACTATCATCATTGGATCGGCGTCTAAATATCAGAAAGTGGTGTTCTAGCATAGAAAATCGTTGCAGATGGAGTCA